TTCCTTCCTTCCTTCCTTCCTTCCTTCCTTCCTTCCTTCCTCCCTCCCTCCCCCCCTCCCTCCCTTCCTTCCTTCCTGATTCTGACAGCATTATTTTCTATCTCATTTTTTTTTTGTTAACAAGAACACAAATTTACCAAGATCAAATAGCAGGATTTCTTTGAACATAGCTTGTGAATATCAAAGGATTCAGAAAACTTTATGTTACAAAAACATTATAACTAAAACATACATTTAATAGTAAATAAATAAAATACACACTGTATTTAAACTATCATTTTGTAAAGCAATACTTTTTATAATCAATATTCACTCTGAATTCTTATTTTTATTAATAAATGAAAAGCTTTTGTCAAGTTCTGAAAGAACATGTCCATTTTATGATCAAGTATTCTAGCCATCACAAATTGTTATGTCACAATCTCTCTAACTCACATTGAACTATTCCTGATCATACAATTACTTTGATATGAAGAAAATTGGAATTTCTAGGGAGAGTAAAAACATATCTTAATGTTTATAATTTATTATCTTTCCCACCATGTGAAGGAACAGGAAGAAAACATGTTATTTTCTGACAGAGAACTGTTAAAAGTTCAGAACCAAGTCAAAATATTTTGGTACCTGAAGCAGAATAGAAAGTGATTCTGTCTATCTATTCATGCTATGATATTATGCAGCTGACAATTTATTACTCTTGTGTGATATTCAAACTCTGGTGCTTTAAGGTGCCAAATAATAGAAGCAGTGCTATACAAACAATTTCAAGAAATCCTTCTCATATCTTTTTGACCAGAATAAATGTGGCAGTGAAAACACATTATCCCAAAAAGCTAATATCTAAATGGATGTCACAGTAATAAGAAAACACAGCAAGTATAAATGTGCAACTTCACTTTTTATTTAGTGAAACGTCAGCATTCAACTTTAAATCCATGTAATTTTTCTGTGGTTAATGTCCTCATAAATACTTCCCTTCACAGTAAAACAGATGTTCAATCATGGATTTCCTTCTTAGTTGGAACTAGGCACAATTTAAATGCTGGAAAATCTTTCTTTTATAGCTCCAAGGCTACATTAACATCTACAAAGAAAAGGGGCAGACACTAATATGGAAGTTGCATGAAGCACAGCAGATGCAGAACATCCTATTAAAGAGTTCTTTGGTTACATGACAATCTCTCAGGAGTACTGACATCTGTATTAAAATCTCTTGTCACAGAACTAAGGCTGAGCCTCAAATATTATAACAAACAACAAACAATCTATAATTATCAGAAATTGTGACTTAGTTAAAACAATTCTTTACAAAACCAGTGTTGATTGCAGGCTGTAGTATATTTCAGAAGCATAGGTTTTTAAAAGTTAAACAGGAAATGAAACATGCATGATGATCACCAATAATGAGCTGGGTGAGATGTTATTATCCACATTTCTCACTGTGTATGCCACCTGCAGCATCTAGAGCAACTCTTTCCTCTCTCAAAAGCTATTTCCTGATTACTAAGGCTGGTGTAGTTTCTTTTGAAAAAAAAAAGTCTATTCACCAAGATGGAAAGAGAACAAAGGAAGCTCAGAACATTACTTGAAGGCCACCAACAAGATACAATTGAATGTATGAAAGGCAGCCATTTTAGTGCCATTTTGAAGGATATTTTTCAGCCCTTAAAATAGAGACAGAGCTTGCAAAAGTAATAGCAGGGGGAAATACTTAAACAATTAGCTTTTTCTCCTTTGCCTTGCTTTTTACTTCAGTGTTACAACAGTTGTTTCTGGCTGCATTATTCCTTAATATTCCTCCTTCCCATTATGATATTACAACAGAGATTAAGAATTCAAGTTACCCATCTATCTACCTGCCCCAGACAACCTAGCACCAATTGTAATAGATAATGTTAGCTGTAGTCCAACTCCATTCTCTTATCTGTACCAAAACCTTTGGGGCAGGGGTTGCAGGGGTTATGATGGTGGTGTAGGTTCCTAAAATAGCCCTGTCTCTAAATGGAGCAAACTTATATTTATTTATCTACAAAGCCATTCTTACTCTGCCCTTTCCTATGCAGTAATAAAGTTTCAAAGAAGAAAAAGCTTCCCATGATACCGGGAGAAGCTTTCATCATCTGATTTTTATTTATAAATATTAAAAGATTTATCTACTGCCTCCCATAAAGTATCTCAAAGGACCTTGCAATCAAATTCAAAAAAGAATAAAGCAACATCAAATAAAAAGTTATTGTAAAAGTGCTACATTAAAAATGGATAGGAAATAAAAACCTGCCTCTACTACTCAAACAGGAAAGATGCAATTGAAAATATGGACAATGTATCATAAGTGTTCCTTAGTTATTGAGGAGAGAGCTTTCCAAAGAGTAGATATAACCTCAAAGAACTGGCATTTTAATGAATGACCATAAGAAGACAATAAACATTCATGGCATACCAAATAGATTCTGCTGGGATGGTGTTGAGCACCAATTGGAGGAGGTGATCCCTCCAAGTAACCCAGTGCCACACTCCATAAAAACAGCAATTTGACTTACATCTAGGAACAAATAGAGAATTGATATAGAACCTGGATCACAGATGTTATGTGCTTATGCTGATGTCTACCAGCCAGCACATGGGCCGTTACATTCTGGCTGTTATATTACATTCCCTAAACCCTAATGGAAACTTTTGGATGATCCTCAAAAGCAACCCCATGTACAATGCATTGCAATAGAACAGACAGGTGTGGGGAGAGCATGACTGATTGTTCCAAAGTCCTTGGATTTTGAGCGGGTCACAACCGAAGTACCAGATGAAACTGGTACACGAATTAACTATGGTATCTGTCTCCCTATGTAACAATAGCTATATTTCCAGGGGAACCCCCAAATCACGGACTTGCTTTCTCAGAGGCAATGTCACCTCATCAAGAGACAGGACCAGGTATACTATGTAGCAGAGAATCTATTTAAAAAAAAAACCTCTCTCACACTTGGGTTCAATTTCAGCCTGTTTTGCCCTTTCAACACTCTCCCAGCTTCTAGACATTGGAACAAGACATTGATAGCCTCTCTTGAATAGACTGGGATAGCAATGTACAATCAAATTATTATCAGCATAGTGCTAATAGTGTAATCTGACCAATGTCTGGGATCTTTCAATAACTTTGTGTAGATGTTAGAAAGCAGGGGAAATTAATCTAAACTTAGGTCACTCCACAAGAAAGCACCTACTTGGTCAGTCTCTCCCTATCCACTAACCCTGCTACTCAAATAAGAACCATCTAATGAGGAATGCACTATCCTTCTCTAAATTGTGATGGAGGTCATCCACAAAAACAATCATGGACATCTCCATCTCATGCCAAGTCTGAGCATTAACTTGAAAGAGACTAGGCAATCTGTTTCATCTTGAATGCTTTGTAGCTATATACTAAGCTCAGTATCAATAGGTTTCTGATGGAATAAAAGTTTAGAGACCAGATGATAGATCTCAAAAATATGTGGTTCCAGGAAAGGCAGGCAGTTGACCTCACTCCTTCCAAAATGATGCATTAAATACTTCCCAGATCCAGTTTGTTACAGCCCCATAAAACTGTTTAGGAAGCCAGGAGGTGTATGGATCAGGCCAAGAAGTTTCTAGTGACAGCCACACTGTCCACTTCCTGAGCTCCAAGGTAAAAAAAGAGCCCAAACGATCCTTTTTAAGCACCCACCAGGAAAAAAAAAACTTTATCCATAAAGAACCTGAGTGGACTATTTTAAGACTGTTCATCCTACAGGATTTTATGCTGATTGTTAATCTCATTTGTCCAGGGCAGTGAGCAAGTGGGAATTCGTTCCATATCCATATCACTACATAAAAGTAATATGAGGTCCAAAATGTGGCTACCTACAGCCTTGCAACAGGAAGGTAATTTATGTGATATTCAAGTCCAAGGATATTTAGGGCTTTATAGAACAGTAATTTAAAATGGACATTTTTGTCAGGAAGAGGGGAAAAAAAGTAGTATCATAATGCCAGTGACAGATGCTTTCTCCATTCATGAAATTAAAAAATCAGTGTGCATAATGCAAGTAATGACTCTCACCCTTCAGGCATGCTCCACTTCTCAAACTTTTTACTAACTAGAAATATATATTTTTTAAAATCAGCTTCACCCACATCAGATTCAGGGTGATTACAGACTCTATATAACCATTCTATATTTCCTTATTGAAAGAAATTTCTTATTTTTTAACTGCATGTGCTACTTTAGGTGGCTGAGAGACGCTCTGATCTTTTTAATATATCATAAAGAGTTTAAGGCACACTTTGTTGTCTAAAACAGCTCACTGAGAGCAGGGATTTTAATCAGGAATTATGAAACACTACTTGGTTAAATAGTCAGCATACTTAAGCAGAGAAAAAGATGCATGTTTCCACTCTGATATTATTAAAGTGGATTTATTAATATTAATTTTGCACTGAGAAAATTAAATCTTTTAGAAATGCAATTGCTTAATGCTTAAGACTTAATTTATTATGTACAAAGCAGAAAGTCCAGGCTGTTTTGAGTAACAAATTCACACTTTTCAAAACATGCTTTAGGAAGAGAAAATAAACAGAATTGAATTTAAAAGAATGCATCTAGAGTATTGCTTTGCTTTTGTGCTAAGAATTACCCAGAACGTAAAGAGTACAATATAGCCTATCGCATAATAAAATGAAATCCTTATTCCACAAATAATTGTAAATTATGCTGGACAATAACTGACAATTAAAGAAAAAAATAGAAAGGCAAAGACAGGATATCAATCTTTTTCCATCCGTTGTTACAAAATAACTTCTAGGTGTTGTAAAGAATTCGTAAAGGATTCTTACCAGCACATTTTGTCCTTGTTGTGAGGGGAGGCCCAGGGGGTCCAGTTCCCCCTTCTCCAGGACGGGTAAGAAGCACTCTGATCTCATATTCCACATCAGGGTCAAGATGCCATAACTTGTAATTGGGAGAATCCACAATGTGGGTTTCGGCCCAGTTCCCATTGGTTGTACGGTATTCTACCTCTTTCAGGATGATGGGCCCATCACCAATGATGGAGTTGGCATTTGGTTTGATCCATAGGTACGTGGCTCCAACTGCTAGAAGTTCTGGAGGAGCAATAGGAGTGGGTGGTTCTGAAAGAAGTAACAACAAAAAGAGATCTATAAACACTCTGGGGTGGTTGGTTTTTTGTTTTTTCTCCCTCTATTTGAAAAAATATGTGCAATGTAAAAGAAACAATAGGTTATTTTCAAGCATTACCTAGAGGAAAGAAAAGGAGAAATAGAAATAATATATTTATTAAAATACCCATCCAGACTTTAGCACTGGAACAAATTGATTTTATTTTCAAGAAATTGTTTATGTAGAAGAAGCAACTCCTTTGATAAATCATACCTTTCAAATAATCACATTTGAAATAATTTTGTAGTTGGGTTGAGGTACCCTACCCAGTACAAAGAATACAATTGCAGAGGCTTCATTAACTTTCAGGGTAAATTCTGAACTGAACTTGCATGCACACTAATTCTCTGACAGTATTTTTTCCATCTGGCAATCTTTAGATGTATTGTGACTTTAATTTCTGAAACCTCCAGTGGTGCTCATGCTGATTATACTGTATATTCTGGGAGTTGCAGTCCTAACAAATCTAAAAAAACCAAGTTGGTGAAAGCTGCTGTTTTCCACAGGCTCTGCCAAAATAGTCAAAAGAACCCTACAAATTCATAATTTGACTGATAAGTAATCCCTGTTTATAAATAATTATGAATAAATGTAAACTGAGGACCAATTTGTGTGGGCATAAATTGCTTCCCTTCCTCTTACAGAATTACTTTATGAGTACATTTACATTTTAACTTTATTCTTTTTACAATCATATTGATATTAAACCTTTAAGCTTGTCGTAACTATTAAGTCGTCTAATGCCAAGTGTTAGATCGGGTGAAGGAAGGCACACTCAGGCTTCAGAGTAACAAACAGCTCTTTATTAGCACAAGTCAACTATGTACAATCCAGTGAAGGTTCAGTCTGACAGCAGCCCTTTTATAGGGAGCTGTCAGACCTTCAATCAATCAGATTGAATCTCTGTTCCCGCCAGAACAGAGGACCTTGGTGTAAACCATTACCAATGTTTCTGGTATCTAANCTCTGTTCCCGCCAGAACAGAGGACCTTGGTGTAAACCATTACCAATGTTTCTGGTATCTAACACCAAGGAAACATATTGTTGAGGTAAATATATAACTATCATGCTTAGAACCTTTTCTGACAAATTTTACCACTCCTGGAAGATGGAATGATTTTTAGAAGATAAATGAGAATGCTGATAAAAGTGGATGAGCATAGGAAAACTAGGGGTAGACATAATGTTCCAAGAGTAGACACACAAGACATTTACATTCAGCCTGGATTCCTGCACAAACATAGGGGTCTTTTATCATTTGTTTCAACTGAATCATCATCAACATGCCTGAAACTTGCATTGTCCCAAACCAGATCTATGAATATTAATAAATGGTTCTCCTTCTGGCAATATAAACTATAATTGCACAGAGCCTAATATGAACTGGGGCCACAGCATGTAATAAATATTAAAGACTTCTTACATTCCCCTCACATTCCCAGATCCCAGTCTAAATCTGGTTCCTGAAACAAAGTTCTCAATAAAATGAAATTAGCAGAAAAACGCTGTACACGAAGCAGCAATACATACACAATAATCCATGTCTATGTCCATTAGAAAAGATGTACATACCTTATCAGTCTTATTCTGTGAACTCTGAGACCATTTCAATGACTAATTGTCCTTAATTAATAGTTTAAATCTCTTATTGATCACAGTATTGGTTCACACTGAAGCAATCTGTGGGGCAATCTGGATACAAAGGGAGGGGGGTATTTTCAGTGTTTGTGGAGATGCTTATCATACTTGTCAGGACATCCTTAAATCAAACAAGCCTTTCTGTGATTACAAGCCCAAGAAAAGTTGTAGCTTCCTTCAGAGCAGCTGACAGGTGTGATGAACATGCCTGTCTTAGGCTCTAAATTACTTTTATCCTATCAAAACTACATCACTATTATAGCTACCATTATTTATTCAGCATATTGATGAAAACTACGGCTTCCCTTGAAGTAAAGGGAAATTATTTTTAAGAGAAACTATTGTGATAGAAGGAAGAACAAAAATTTTAAGATTTTTTTAAGGACCCCAAACACACACACACACTCAGACAGACACACACACACACACACACACACACACACACACACACACACACACACACACACAC